ATATATATACACTCAAACATGCACACACAAGATTTTCAGGATGAAACCATTAGCAGCTAATAATTACTAAAACATCATTATTTCCTGACTGGTTTCTGTACTACTGGGTTTTTTTCTACCTCAAGTTTCTACATTTGGTTTTTCATCTCCCACAAGTGCATGCCAGTGGTGCTGGACTAAGACCAGCCATCCAGGTTGGGCTGGATGCTTAGGACCAACAATAGAGTTTGTTAAAAATACACCTTCCAGGGGCGCCTGGGTGACTCAGTTGGTTCAGTGTCCAACTTCGGCTCAGGTCATGATCTCACAGCTCATGAGTTCGAGCCCCACGTTGGGCTCTGTGCTGACAGCTCAGAGCCTGGAGCCTGCTTCGGATTCTATCTGCCTCTCTCTCTGTCCCTGACCCGCTTGCACTCTGTTTCTCTCTCTCTCTCTCTCTCAAATATAAATAAACATTAAAAATTTTTTTAAGCTACACCTTCCAGCCTCTGCTACTCACTCCAATTTAATAAGGCTTGCTAACTTTGAAAATATTTTGCACAAACAATGTATTTTCTGGGATCCTGGATTTTTAAAAATTTTTTTAATTGTTTATTTATTTTTGAGAGAGACCGAGTGTGAGCAGGGGAGAGGCTGAGACAGAGGGAGACACAGAATCTGAAGTAGGCTTCAGGCTGTGAGCTGCCAGCACAGAGTCTGACGCGGGACTTGAATTCACGAATCGCGAGATCATGACCTGAGCTGAAGTTGGACGCTTAATCAACTGAGCCACCCAGGCACCCCTGAGATCCTGGATTTTTTAAGACATTTTTTGTTGTCTTTATTGTTGAACAAGTGCTAGACTGTGCGTAAAAGTCTTGGATCAGATTCTCCTCATCTTCACGTTCTGAGTGTTGCCCCATTGTCATTTATACTGACTGTTACATCTTGTGGTCTTAGTGGCATTAATGGTGACCCTCTCCCCACCCTGACACTTTGTTTTTTAATTTATTTTAATACTTGAAACTTGAAGAAAAGAAAAGGCAGATACTTCTCAGCATGGGTTTCTAAGAGCTGGTCATTCATTTTGCCTTTTAATCTCAAATCCTTTTTTCTTTTCTAGAAAGTTCTTTTCTATTATGTCTCGGCCATTACTTATGAACTACAGGTTGTTTGTACTTCCCTTCAGAACATGTTTTATTCATAGGTTGGATTTCTGTGATCTCCCCTCCATTTCCATTTTCTTAAGTTTTATCCTTTTTCTCTGTCTTTTCCTTATGTTCTCTGTGTTCTGGGATTACTTCTTAGTTTTGTCCTCTGCAACCAGTGCAGTGTTCAGCTGTGTTAAGTGAACCTTTCATCAGTTTGGTTAAGACTGTGTTTCAGCTCCTGGGCCTTCAGTTCATCAATATCCCTTCTCATCTCTGTGCTTTTTGGTTTAATAAGAGTAATATAAATATCATTTGGCATAGAAGGCCAATGTCTTTTGAGAAAATCTTCTGTTCATGAAAGTAAATCCTTTTTAGATGAGAAATTTCCCTTTTGAGCCATTATCCTTTTCTCCCTCTTGTGCAGTGGGATTTTTTTTCCCTCCTGGGCTTTGTGTTAGTTTTTCCTTGGTACCTAATGCTTGAACAAGGCAAAATATTCCTGGGCCAGATGTGGAGCTATATGGGGAGGGGGGGGACTTCCTGTCTGTCTCCTTTCCTTGATTCATTCCAGTGAATCCCTGGAGCTTCTTCCCACCAGTTCCTGCCTTATGTATGGAGGCAGGATAAAGTCTCACCCACCGGCTTAGAGCAGCCTGTCAATAATTTAGCCCACTCTCTGCTTAGCACTGCTCTTGGCACATGGGGCTGCTTGACAAAAGGCTTTCAGAAAATCAGTAGAAGAAAACCCCCTTAGCAAAGGGTGTGATATTGAAAATATCTTGAAGCTGTGATAATCAGTATTTTGTATGTAATTCTCTTATATGATGACCAAGCATGTAAGCAATTCTCTTACATGAAGCCCTTTGAGTGACTCAGATTGTTTTTAACTCGTGAATTGGATCTGAATAGAAATATATTTTACCCTGGTCTATTAAAACAACAATAATTTGTGTTTTCTTTAATCCTTGATTGTATCTTCCTTTCAGGTGTTCATCTCTCTTCTGCTGTCTGGAAATCTACCTCTTTGTTTCCGTTCAGCAGCTCTTCATTACTGATTTAGAAAGGACAAACATTTATCTTGATACTTAGTAAAAGTGGAAATATACACATTTTGGATCCTGAAGTTATGGGGAGTGAGATCTTACTGATGTGATTTTTTTCTTTTTTTTTTTTTTTTTTTTTTTTTTTTTTTTTTTTTTTTGGATTGGGAGAAAAATATAGAACCTTCTAGAAAACAGATAATGCTGTGGCCTATACTCTTCATTTTATCAGGACTGAAGATAAAGTTTAAAAAAAAAATCCATCAAAGACATAAGATTATCCGATTTGTTCCTAATCTGCTCCTAGCACAAGGGTTACCCTGTGCTATTCCTGGTATTTTTCAGAGCCAAAAATCCTCTCAGACCAGTAGGTAACTAGAAATAGTGCTTTAAATCCAAGATGGACAAAAGAGAGGCCTCATTAAACTGGGCTCTCCCCACCAGACCTTCCTCTACAGGGGCTCAAAACAGGCCTCCTTTAATAAGAAAGTTTACCAGCTGAGATTAAAGTCAAGAATCAGAATGAAGGACCATGTCCAAGGTACCGGTTGGTTTAATCTCCTGCAAAAACTTCATATCCCTTCAACCCTGGCAGCTGTAGATCAAACGGCAGAGTGTGAACATTAAAACCACGCGGTGAGAATAATGTGTCTCTATTTCATTTCTCTTTCCAGGTTTGAGATTTTTAAGAGCTCTCAGACTGATACAGTTTTCAGAAATTTTGCAGTTTCTGAATATCCTTAAAACAAGGTAAGATGTTCTTATTCATATTTTTTCTTCATTCTGGTTCCCAAGGCCAAATTATAAATAGCAGGTGTTTTTGTTCATCACTGTAAAGTTAGAGTTCTGTTATTCTCAGAAAAAGTGATCTAACACAGAGATCTGGAGAAAGCCCGGGGTGGGGTTTGAACTGCTCTCTTCTGCAGGGCTGGAAACTGTCTGGTAAGAAGAGAAACAGCCGTGCATGTGGAGAAGTAGATAGTTTTGGGGGGACTGTGTGGGTTGCTTGGAAATCAGCCACAGCATCCTGGAGAGATGGTGCACAGTGGATGAGGGATCGAGCAGCTCATTGATTGGGAAGTCCTTGCTCCTAGGTTCTGAATCACCCCTTTATTACATCACTAAATAAGAAATTGAACCTAAACCCAAAAGCAATGGAAGCAGTGCTCTTGGAGAGGCAATCACAAACCTCATATGGCAAACAGAAAATCATTTCATTTCAAAGTACATTTTAGATGTTCACTTTCTTGCCAGTGTAGTCCCTGGGGCTTGCTTTGTGAATTGCCTTTTGGGGAATACCTAAAAACCTTCTGCCGAATGTACTGTGACTGCTTCTGTTAACTGTGTTATGATCTGGAAAACACTACGGGAGCAGGAGGAAAAATCCCCCAGAGATGCCTTTCCTGATGACCTGTGGGTTTGCAGAGCTGGTCTGAGACCAGGCTGCCTTGATGAATAAACTAATAAAAGAGGTTAGACGTACTCTAATGGAGAATAAGTACGGGCCATAAATTTCTCTTATAGGAAATTACACTTTAAGAACCTCACTCCTAATGTTCCATTTCCTCTTAGGTTGATGTGTTTGATAAATGATTAAAAACAGGATGCTTCTGGATTTTGTGATTTATAATTAATATACCTGAATTTGGGGTGGGGGAGGGCCCTTGGATTTGGCATTGTTTTCCCAGTAACTGAGGCTGGGACTCAGCTTCCCAAACCTGTCATATCCAACAAATGTGATGGGCTGTTGACTTCCCTCTTTGGGGTTAGTGCTTTTTGTTTGTTTATTTTGGTTTGTTTTAATTCTAAATTGGTTTTTCCTTACTAACTATTCATCTGTGTGCATGTGGGACAAATTCTCTTTGTGTTAGCCAAGTTAAAAAGCAAATGAGCCTCTAACGTAATAGAAGCCCTCTATAGTGTGTCCCCCTACTCTGCACCTTCATTACCCTGGGGTCAGAGTTTGTTGATGTTGCACTTAATACTATGTAATATTATTAATATAGAGTGAATATTGTTATTCTTCCTATTTCTTCTGAGTGACAGTAACCCTCATTTCTACCTTTTTATGGCTCTTCTGTGCAATGAACTCATATTACTTTTGAAATTAAGATTATCCATAACCCAGCAATCCTCAATGCTTACCTATGTCATAATTGGTCTGCTATATTTTTTAGGGTAGAATTGGTGCATACCCAGTGCCAAGCACAGAGACCGATTTAAGAGACACTTGTTTTTTTTCTAGTGTAGAATGTGTCATGTGGAGTTAACCACACTCTCTAACATGGTATAGTGCCCCTCGTTCCCTGTTTCATGTTTACATCATAAATTAGGGGGTTTTAACTCTCTGACACCAGTGTTTTAAGAATGTGCCATTACTCCAAGGAATAACATGGCGAGAACTGTGTTCTCATTTTTCTTGCATTCCACATGGATCCTTTTTGGACTTGGGAGAATGTTAAGCCATGTGAATAAAATATCTTTTTCTGGACCTTTATCAAGAGACCCACCGATTTTTCAATCCTTGGAGAAGATTCTTTTCCTTTAGGTGCAGGAAATAGCACTAATGTCTGTGGTGCACAATTCACCAAGAAGGCCACAAGTATGGGTGAGGTTCATTCTCCCAAGGCACAGGGGAAAGAGCTGAAGCAGCCAGCAAGGGACAGAGGTGACTATAAATCAGGAGAGAGTGGCCTTAGGGAAGACTCATGGGGTGGCAGGATGCCAGGTGTCTGCTATCTTGAGCCCCAAACAGCATCTCCCCATCATCCTACTTCCCACTCAGTTAAGCTCTTTCTATGGTAGAGCGGGTTTTCATCACAACCCCCCCCCCCCCCCCCCCCGCCTTGGATTGTCCCTGTTCCTGTTGCTTAGGTGGGTGACTGAGTTAATTCAACAAGCCTGAACTGACCATCTATTCGTACCAGCAGTGAGATGGGTGCCAGGGTAGCGTCCTGCTATCAGAGAGTGCATGAGGAGGGAAGAGCCAGCTGGACCTGTGGTGTGGTGGTACTGGGTCACAGGTATATCCAGGGGTGGGAGTGGGAGGCGGTGAGGCATGGAGGAGAGGAATGAAACCAGGCTTGACATGAATGTGGGGCAGTCAAGGCTCTTTTCAAGAAAAGGTCTTAGGTAAGCTTCCTAGAAAACTAGATGTCATCCAGGCAGGGGTGGGCTTGGGCATCATCCAATCATAGAAGCTGCAAAAGCACATGGGTGAGAGAACATGGCCCTTGGGGGTGCTTTGAGTAGTCTGGTACTCCTGGAGACTAGGGGTTCTGTGGTGGGAAAACAAAAATGACATTATAGGAGAGCAGGTAAAGTCCAGACCCCAGGCACAGAAGAAAACTTGACTTAATTTATAAGAACTCCAGAGGCTTTAGACCAGCTCTTTGAGCCTTCTCTCCTCAGGTGCCTGGTTAATCTCAGCTCTTTCCTTCTGCACACTCCCAAGCCCAGATCCCAAAGGCTCTGATTGAGAGAAAGGGAAGGCTTGGTTTTTATAGGGCTTTGGACGCAGAGCAATTTTTCTGGTGACTCCTCTGTACTCTGCTGTGTTCATGGTGACCTTCCAGAAGGGTGGGCGCAGCCCTGTAATCATCTTTAGGGAGATTTTGCCTGGTTTCCTCGGGTGGCCAGTCCCTACCAATCTGTGGCATTAGGTAGGCATAGAGATATTGCAAATGTGATTTGAAATAATGATTTGAAATTGCAGCTTCATTTTCTGTCCTTTGGTTGCCTTGCTTGGCAAAGAGCTGGAAGAAACAGAGCAGGGAAGTATATTGGGGAGAGAGAGAGAGAGGGAGGGAGGGAGGGAGAGACAATTAAGAGGGCAGCAGAGTGAACAGGATGACAGAGAAAACACAGAAGAAAGAAACAGTTCACAGTTATGGGACAGCATCAGGGCCATTCCTGCCAACTACCAGCCAAAAGAGGGTCCTAATGTGTTCCTTCTCTGGAAAATGGCATCTTGAAGGGGACAGGTTCCCCTCCATGTCATCGTCTGAGCTTTGGCGGTGCCTCAGTGGCTCTGAAAACTGGCGAAAAGACTCCCAGATGAGAGCGGACTTATTCTACACTCAGAGCAAAATAAGCATCTCTGTTTTAAAGGCTGTCATTCTGATCTCATTTCATGTGTACGGGCTGATGATAAAAACATGGGTCATCCCAACAATTTGTTTTAAGTGGCAACGGCCTTACTAATTATCAAAGCAGTCTATAGCTCATTATAAACATTTCAACAACGTAGAAAAGCATAAAGGGTAAAGTAAAACTTCCCCAACCCTTACGAACTTCCAAGGTTAGGTTCTTAAAAAAAAAGAGTATTCCCTATGGAGACTGCAAGGGCTTGTGCAGGTGGAGGCCACATCGTGAGGGCTCTCAGGTGTCATGGATTTAACTTGGAGAGCAAGAGGAAATTGCTGAAGGGTTTAAGTAGGAGAGGAATGTGGTCAGATTTACATTTTAGAAAGATCTACTAGTCCACCAATTGTTTGATGGGTTTGAAGCATCTAAGACTGTAGAGCATTAGACCAGTCAAGGCAGTTGTCCAGGTGAGTGGTATCAGGAAATGGCCTTAGGCAGGGCAAGTTGGGGTAGAGAGCAGGTAGAGGGGCAGAGAGATTAAAGGGGAAGAATTGCCCGAACCCAATTTTGCTTAGAGTTCAGAATATTCATCTCAAAGTAGTATAGTCCAAGTGACTTTTCAGGGGTGGATATCTTACATCTGTCTAGCAAAGATAATAATAAAACAAAATAAACCCATTGACACCTGGCTGTAACTTTAGCCAGAACGGAGGAAAATAGTGGACAAGCTGAACAGGGACAGATTTGCCCTTCTTTGTAGAAAGTGGATGATGTTTTTAGTGTTAACCAAAACATGTCTTGTTAAATACACTGAGGGAAAAGATGGCTCATGTTAGCTCTGGGTTTATAGCTATACTTTCAAAAAGAGAAAGACTTTCTCTCTTCCAGTATCTATGGGGTCCTGGAAAGGTCTCTGATCTATAGGAACAGAAAGATATCTGTGCCTGCCCTTGGAAAATTCACTGTATCCAGTAATGTAAATTTCTCCAATGGCTATGGAGAACTCATGAGTTGGGGAGGCAGCAATGAAAGTGGACAACATTGAAATGATTTTCTTCATGAGTTAGGTTCTCATAAGGTCATAGTCCCCTCCCTCAAGGCATGGGAAAGGGGCTTGAATCCGAATGGTTCCAGTCATTCTTGCCATTGGGAAGTTTGTGTTTGGCTCAGACCCATGGCTTTGGCCAAAAACCTATGCTTATTTCCAATGGCCCCTTTTGCCATGCAGAGTGCACAAACTTGGCCCTGCTACCCCATGCCTCCTCCCACGGAGCCCTGTGCAACCTGGTGAGGTTCAAATTTCAGAATATGCAATAAGTGCACCAAGAGTTAATTTTGCATCTTTTTCACAGAGCTTTTAGATAATTACCTGGTTGTATAGTTTAATTTGGAAAGCAAATTCCTAATACTAGTGATCTGTAATGATGATAATGCCATAAAATAATCAGATTTCAGCACTGAATACAGAGTCTTTCATCATCAATGATGAACTCCACGCACAGCAAGAACTCCCTTAAGCACTATTAATATCATTGTGACAATTATTTAGAAATTAGTAATCACCATATTTAGGTTGTTTTTCCAAAGCACCAAGAGGCTCAAAGGCTGCAATAGTTTTAATATCTCAAGAGCGTTCCACATGGTGGTTGGTGGGACACTGCTTTGTTCAGGTTCCAAGGATCTGGAAGTTTGTAAGTGAATCAACTTGGTATTTAATTACCCTTTGAGAAAATGAACACTACACATTTTCCTTGACTTATGATGGGATTATCGTATAGTGAGATAAACTCACTATAAGTCAAAAATGCATTTAATACTCCTAACCTCTCACACAGAGCTTAGCCTAGCCTCACCTTAAATGTGCTCAGAACGCTTAAATTAGCCTACACCTGGACAAAATGATCTAACACAAAGCCGATTTTATATTAAAGTGCTGAATAGCTCATGTATTTTACTGAATACTGTCCCGGAAGTGGAAAACAAAATGGCTGTGTATCGATTGTTTGCTCTTGTGATCGCGTGGCTGACTGGGGGCTGCATCTCGCTGTCACTACCCAGAGTCGTGAGAGAAATCATGCGGCATATTGCTAGCCCAGGAAAGGACCAAAAGTCAAAATCTAGTTTCTACTGAATGCAGATGGCTTTCACACCATTGTAAAGTCAAAAAGTCGTAAGTTGAACCATTGTTAAATCGAGGACTATTTATACACGCTTTTCTGAGATCTCTCCCTTTGCTACTGGCTACCTGTTCCTCAACTGCTTCTCATGCTCCAATGTTAGCTCACACCTTGGAGGACTCACAAGGTAGAGACGGGGTTTTGCTCTAGTTTGGCTTCCCATTAAGAAACTAGTTGGGAACAAGACATAATGGTGTTTCAGCCACAACAATGTTCAGTTCACTGATTGCCAGAGTTGCTTTCCCCAGTGGCTCGTTGGGTGGATGCCTTATATCTATGTTTTTGTTTTTTTTAATTTTTTTCATTCATTCATTCATTCATTCATTCATATAGGCTTCACGCCCACGTGCTTTTTGGCTATCAATCCCTTCTGTTGCAGGCAGATGGCTTTAATTGCAAGTGACAGAGTCTACTTTGAACCATCCTTAGTAATGACTGGGATTCAAGAGAGAATTGAGCATGTGTAGATCCAGAGGTTCAGATTCTCTCATCAGGATTCTGCCTCTCTCTTTATTTCTTTTAGGTTACATTCTCAGGACAGAGTTTCTCCAGGGCAGATGGCCTTCTAGAGCTCCAGACTTAATATTTTCTGCACCCAAATCTCAGAAGGAAAAAGATTATTTTTATCCTGCTCAGTTTCTGAGACATGCCTCTGATAGGCCTTACTTCGGAGCCCTTTAGAGCCGGGAGCTCCTCCATCAGCCAGTGTGGCTCAGGCCACCCAGGTAGAGGGAGAGGTGGGAACCTTTGAGTGCTAGAGGCTGAGGACTGGGCTGTCCTTGAGGAAGAGATATGGGACAAAACAAAGAACAATAAAAACAGCTGTGTACTGCTTCTCCGAATTACCGTGTTAAATAGGATTTGGATCAGACAGGCCTGGTTAGACTATTAACTCCACCACTTACATGTTCCGACCATGTCTTCTCAGGCAAGCTGCTTAAGTACACTAAGCCTCAGTTTATTTGGTTAGTGAGGACAGTGATCATACCTATATCAAAAGGTAAATGGTAAAAATCTGAAGAAAATAAAGAACCCAACAAAGTGCATAGCACATAATAGGGATTCAATAAATATTGGCAATTTTTATAGGCAATTCTCATAATCTGGCAACTCTAGAAATGACCAAGAATGACAGAGTAGACGTTTGTATTGTTTTTTCTGTTTTTGAACCAGAAAGGAGTCATTCCACACATTTCAAGAGATCAGTATCAAACAAAATTAAAAATATTTGGTTATTCTTTCCTTGAACTGTTAGAACCAACTCTAGGAAACTAAGACCATGGGTTCCTCTGCTCAGTTACTTAAAGAAAAGAAGATTGAAGAAAAAGGCAAACTGGACCCTTGTCTCGTGCCTGTCCTAGAGCCACTGATCTGACCTCCACTGAGGGGCTTCTCCTTCAACCCCTGTGCTACCTTGGACTGCAGCCCACCCCGCCTTCCTCTACATGGTGACCCCAGTGTAGATGTAGTTATCAGAATTTTTCCTTTCCATTCTCTTTTGTGGCGGTTCAAGGGGTTAATCAATATGTCTACATAGTCTCTCTCCTCCGTGGAGCAGCTATCTCTGACCTTCTCCTATCCTATGCATAGAGCATGGGGGGAGACACAGCTTTGCTTTAGCAATCAAGGAAGACTTTCTGACAGATGCCAGTCTGTGACTGTGTAGCGGCCAAGAGGGCAGACTCAGCAGCCAAGCTGCCCCAGCTCAAATCCCAACTCTGGTGCTCACCATGTGAGCTTGGGTTTGGATGACTTCACAGAGTCATTGTGAAAAGTAGAGGAGTTAATACACTCAAAGCACTTAGAACAGTGAGCTAATGGTAAGCACCATAAAGGAACCATAGAAGTGTAAGCCATTACTGTTAACTGTGATCTTAAACTCTCAGGATTTACATCATCGGATCCCAGTGAGGAAGAGATGGGAGAGGGCAGAAAACAATCTGTCAAGGATAATGGGCTGAACTACCCTGTGGGTGGCATTCAGCCACTATAGGGAGACTGAAAGAGGCAGAAGATAGACTTTGTTTCTGCAAGATGCAGTTAGAACATGAGACAAAAGCAATCCAAACAACATTACAGAAGATGTCTTAAGACACTGGGATCGATTACCAACGAGTGCCTGAAAGTAAGAGCCGTGAGGAGTCACCTTGTATTGCAGGTGGGGGGACCACATTAATGAGGACATGGGGATTGAACCAGGCTCTGAAGAAAGGGAAATATTTGCATTGATGGGAAGGACCATCTATGGTAGTAGCATAAACAAAGACGTAGTACCCGGGTTTGGCTGCTACAGAAGTTTCAAGAGTTTATGTAGAAGAGGGTGGTGGTTAAGCCTGCAACTTTAGCCAGTGTTGAGGATGGAAGGAGTTTGGACGTAATACCATTTAGCCAACAGGGAGTCTTTGGACAGAGAAATGACCTGCTGATGACAGCGTTCAAGGAGCTGTACTCCAGTGGGAGTGAGCCTGGTGAAGCTAAGTATGGAGAGTGCAGAGGAAGGGACCAGTTCATTCAGTACTTATGCATAGAGGCCCTATTATGTGCCAGGGACTCATGTTCCCAGGATCCAGACAGACAAGGCCTGTGCTTTCAGGATGCTTAAAATGTAGTGAGTCCCAAATGATCCACTCAGGGAACACTGATGGATGCTGAAATTATTCAGCATGAGGTTTTTAGAGAATAGGATGTTCATATAGTCTCAGATTCTTGCTGCACAGATGACATATTAATTACAAGGAAGTGGGCTCTTCTTGGTGGCAAGATTTAATGTTCCCACCTTAACCAAATGACTGGGCCTAGTGTAATTGAGTTGAGATTTTCTCATGTGCTGCCATCCCAGTTAGATACTCTTAACAGAAGCATATAAACAGAATCTTGTCATGGGGGAACGATTAGACAAATCAGAATATGGGACATAAATAAGGCAGCTGACCTGAGTGTAAAGAAAATTAAATGTCTTTGAAAACAAACAGAAAGAGTTGGGC